CGCACTTTTGTCTGCATTAAGATAAAATATAGCCCACATGCTTCTCGGGACACAATCTGTCTTTACGCCAAATTTTGTACAAATCCGGTCAGTCGTTATAAAAAGACAAACAGGTGCTATATTAAACAGATCTCTACTCCGCATACGCCGCCAGTAACTGTGTACTCGTACAAGTGTATCGATTTTTTCAATTATATCTAAGTGCATCTGTATATCCGAGTATATATCTAGTTCTTCATTCATTCCACGTGTCGTCTAGGTCCAGACCCGTAGGTGTCATGTCTCCAATGCAATATTTAACACTCTGCAGCGCTACGTGATATTTGGTGCTTCCACTGTTACATTCCGTGTGCTGTTTATTTTATGTTAGTAGTCACAGATAGAATTAGTATCATTTCTGGCATTACAAATAATATCTTATAAAAATGATTAGGTACGTATTTACAAGGTTTATTTTAATAACATTCTTGCTTAATTCGTAATTACTATTAAAACATTCCCAAAATATTTTACTTCATGGAAAATATCTGGAAGTTAACTGTTAGTTATAAATTCTTAAATCTTAAGTCTATTTTCTTAAATCTGTCATTGTTTTCTTTTCATTTATTTTCTAATTCTATTGTAATTGGTCGCATCAAGAACAAATCATATTATATCTCATTTTATTTCTCCAATGGTCCCTTCTGTGACCTTTCAAAGTTGTTTTTTTTTATTTAAGGTCAAATATTATATATGTATAACATGAAACAAAAGATTATGTAACATTTATCTTCATTGAGCTTGTTAAATATACGTATTTTAATAATGATATTATGAGACATAAGTATATTACTGAAAAAGTTATTAATAGCAATTTAGATATCAAGCTCTAGGTTAGCTACAGATTTTTTTATATAATAGCGCATTTGAGACTTCTTCAATCCAGCCCTAGTATACCCGTCGAGGCGTCTTGTCGCGTTTGAAATATGAGTTTAATTTTGTCTCTTGTTACTACAATTTCACGTAGCTATGACTTTAACAAGAAAATTTGACATATTAAAGCGATATTTCCGACGAAGATTAGAAGAATCCAATGAAATATTTTCCTTTTACAAAGGAACAAGGAGTTTTTAGATAAAGAAAAGCGTAATTTTCCAATAATTTCAATTTAATCATATTTATAGGATCATGAAAGAAGTACAAGTAATATCTGATGAAACATATGAATATAAATGATGCTATAGAATACACTACAAAATTAATATCTCTCTAATTTGCCTACCGAATATTATAAACCTTCAAATTAATACACATCAGAAACTAATTCGGATTGAATGACAGTTTTTAGTCTCTTGAATTATATAAATTGTTAGGGATATGATAATACTACACGTATTCGTTGTGAAGGAAATCAAAAATTGACTTATATTTTGAAGAGTCGTGTATCAGCATAATATAAATTATAATATATTTCATTCTTTTTGTGATGAATCTGCATTCCGAATGAGTGGTAGAATCGAAATATGACTATTCAAAAGTGCTTGTAATGAGTTTATTTGATTATTAATTGAATTTATTAAATGTTAACATTAATGTATTACATTTTTATGAATAAGTGTAGTATAATATCCAGTTTAATTATTTCATCTAGAAATTTATTATGGTGGATCTGATAAAAGCTGATTGTCGGCAGGTAGATAAATATGTAATTTTACACAATACTGTATAAAAATAACCTATGATTTAACGAAAATATGTTGTGGTTAATTTATATGCTGTCGAAACATATATATAAGCGATAGATGTACTAGCGAAATCTCTTTAAAATCTACTAAAAGATCTTTGCCTGTCTAAAACTGCAGTAAGTTCTGTACTAAGATCATGTATATAAAGCTGTATTCGCAGGCTCCCACCAGATTTAGCTGGGCAGGGAGAGAAACACGAGCGGTGAAGGTGAGTATACCCGGGTCAAAAGTACCGGAACTGCTCGAAGTTTCCCTCTCTGCCGCACGATGGTCTGTCACCCGTACGGTGAATTTATGGAATGCTAATAAATTCGTCTCCCTTCCTAATAAACTAGAATATTTTCTTTTTGAATAGATCAATACTTTTTAGTGAATGTAATTTTACGTTTCTGAATTACATTATCGATTTGAAATAAAATTGTATTGAGTTGTCACCGCAACTTCGCTACAAAATTTCTTAACCCGATGTTTCGTGGCGAAAACTTCGTAACTACTGGAACATTACGCTCCCCACAGCCATTTTCACTAGTATCGACTTCCGGTGGTTACCTCCGCTTTCTATTTCAACTTAGTCGTAATAGTACCTGCCATTATTAAAATACATATGTAGAAAAGCATGTAAATATGAAATAAGGGAATCACAATTAAAATTAACACAATAGCTTACTTATACACGTAATGAAAACGAATAAAATTAAATGTGTATATTGAATAAAGTAGTCAATATTTAACACTTATTATTTATAATAACAAAATAAGAAGCCGCAATATGGTCAAGTGGTTTAGCAAACTACCTTTCTACCTATGGTCGCGGGTTCGTATCCTCGCATGGTATGAACATTTATTTATTTATTTATAAAAACTTCATGCACAAATATAAAACAAAATAAAGGTGCATATGGCGGACTTAACACCATAAGGCATTTTCTCCCAGTCGACCATAGGGCAAACAGAGATTAGTGGGCGGTGCATTTAAGTAAATAATAACACGAAATAAATAATAAAAGGAGGAAGGTACAATTATAATAAAATTCATAAATTGAAATATATATATCCAATTTATATTTATGAGTATTATTGTTTGTTGGATAATACCTAAAAGAATCATTGGTATTAGTTATATAGTACCTATAACACAAGATATGCTTACCTTCAGACTTGATGGCGTTGTGTGAGGGGTCCATGGTTTTATTATTATTATACAAAAAACATTATCACATAGCATAGCATACGTAGCGGCTGAATGACCTATGGGCGTAGCCTGTCCAAAAAGATAAACAAAACAAATATTTGAAATCTGTATAATAAAATCAATTAAGTTTGAATTTAAAAGTAGACTTATTTATAAAACATACTGATTATTTGCTCCGCGGTTGTTTTTAGAATCTTCATTGGGAAGTTCTATTCCTATTTCGAGTGCTCTCTGGCAAAGCAATTTAAAACTTGACATAAAACAAATTACTTGCTATTATATATGAACACTGTAACCACGTGACAACATACGTAATTCAGACGATTTCACAAGCTGAAGTAGGTAGGTACCTCATATATAATTGTAAGTATCTACTGGTATTTGTAGATATTCATTAAAATATTATTATTTGAACTTGGATACTCAATATACAATACGAGTACTTAAACTTCTTTATACTGATTCGATTCCTGGAATGAAAAATAAAGGAATTTAGATTAAAAATATCAGTTCTATGTTTTTTAATTGAGATATACAGTAACTTTTTTAAAAGACGTAATGAAATTAACTATACCGTGTAAAATTTCTCACGCAGAAACAGTTATTTCCCGTTGCCGGGAATTTGTGAAAAGCCCCTCTCTCATCCTAAGTATGGTATATTATATAATCCAAACGCAGTATACGTGAAAGGTGGAAAAGGTTAAATAGAAACTTTGTAAAGATACTAACAGCGTGTAGATTAAAAAAATCATTGAAACTTAGAGTATATTTATTAATATATATATATCCACTGCTATTAACTATTTTATTGGTAAGTATATAAATAAGTACATTCATGTTCTTATTAAGAAAATAAAAAGATTTTAAGCAAAATTAGATTCAGTCAATTTTGTATGCATTTATAAATTCATTGTTATCAACAATATCTCGCCGGGTATCCATTCTCTTCAGAGCGGTCCTGTCTGTTTAACCTTCATGAATAATTCAACAGGAATGCAAACCAAGATATCGACTCAATATATACTTGCTACAAAATGACCTCTTCAAACATTACAGCTTTATTTTATTTGCACTGTATAATTTTACTAAATATATAATTTCAAAGTTTGTAAATCACGCTTATGTACATAATTACTGAAGCAATTACTGCTTTAACATTTTCTGTAGCAGCTACCTAAGAAATTCATTATATTAAAAAGAACAAGAATAATACTAGAATGAAGTTTCCATTTTAAAATAGTATGAATTTGTTCGACCAAGCTGTTTTCTAATTCCATTTAAAATTGAATTGGAGGTTATAAATATATTGTATATATAGTTCATACAATTTAGATTTTCGCAGTAGTACCTATATACCTAAGTTATTAATAAGTATTTAGAACCTATAGTAATACAATAGATATAGGTACATATTTTTAAAAAACATGGTTGTTATTTGCAGATTTTATAATACTTGATTCTTCACTTATATAGGATAAATTGATTGCAAAAGTGTAAGTATTTTCTAAAAATGATGGAAAATCGTATAGTATCGTAATAGTAGGAAACCCGCTAGAAAAACGCGTAAAAATATCCAATTTTATTTACTTCTTTTTTGGGTCATAAAGCAATTTATGGCCCCAAAGTGACTGTCCTATGATAACACTATCTGCAGAGTCATGTTTAATGTCCCACACGCAATCATATATTACGGAACAGAAACTACGACGCGTGTGTCATATAATAATAACGAAACAAAATATATGGAAATATCCATTGTTAGCTCCTATACTTTTTCTTTTATTGAGAGCATGTTACCTAATGACAGTAATGTACAATGCTAAGTATTTTTAGATGCCTATTAAAATATATATCTACGTAGATTCTATGTGTCTAAAGGCATATTTTAAGTTATACTCGTAGAGTACAGAATTACGATATCAAAATTGGAGAAAATATCCCATATAACTCAGAGTACATTATATAATACTTCTTAACATATGATTAAACTGACGTCATCACGTATTTAAAATAAATATGGTACATTTAAAAAATAAACAGTAAGCAATGAGTTGTATTGAAATAAAATATTTTATTTACAAAATACACATAATTTAATCAAAACCTCTCTCTATCACAACATATCTTTTCATTAAATAAATCAGTTGCTTGTACAATTTCTATGCACATGAAAAACATAAGACAACTTTGTGCATTAAACCTGTTCAAGCAGTGCCAGAATAGCCTAGTATTAAGGGTAGCAAATAGTATTGACCAGCACACTGAAGGGCTCCGTGTACTCACTGTTTACAATGAAATAATAAAACAGTTTTTTAATCATTAGTATTATTTTCTTAGTTCGTACAAAGTAATATTTTTTGCGTTTTTTAAACACGAAGTATAGGCCTCTTGTAAAAATTTGCTAAAGGCCTCACACTGGGATAATTTCTTAAATTTTCATTTCATTCTCCAGCATTAATTAAATCTTACAGTCTGGTAATCTACTAAGCACACAAAGATAATATTCTGACCTGATTCAGTTCATATTATTAGTATTGATTATATTAATCTAGCATTTTTTTTTCGTTATAAAAAAGTTTCAATGTTGAGACGATTTTTTTCCACCGAATCTTTGCCACGGTTGAGTACGAATATTAGGATTCCAATTAGGAATTATGATGTCTCGATGACTTGGCTTTTTAATACCTGGAATTTCAATATCTCTTCGGGCTCTCGCGTAGATAGGATAAGGTTGCCTCGGAGACCACGGTCGCGGGAAAATTGGGTCTATATCAATTGGCTTAGGTATAGTAGGTGATGGAAATCTGAACGGTTCAGGCAATCTAACTTCTCTAGCATTTCTGCGATTATATCCAGAGTGTGTTGCTCCCGTATCTCGACCACCAGTTGGAGCATGACTTCCTCCACCACGTTTGGCACTTGGAGAATCTAAGCTGCGAACGTATCTTCTATTAGGATCCAATTTGATATGATCTATTACTGATGGCAAAACTGGATGGTCAGCGGTGGCAGGTGCTCGTTCTATATTGTCTCCTTCATACAACCATAGAGGTTCGTCTGCTTCTCTTACCGCTCTAATAATTACAGGTTTTCGTCGAGGTGGTCGGTATGTGGGCTGTATAAATCGCTGACACGAGGAATCCACAATAAACATCACCAGAAATACTCCGAAAATGTACGTTAGCTTCAACATTTTGATATTATAATTATCTGTCGCTCACCTTTGTTGTAATGTGCTCTTAGCTTATAATAGTGTATATTTATATGATTTCATAAGGAAGTCGGGTACTTTACCGAGTATGATTGTATTGCGCTATAACAACTCGTACGAGGGAATAAACCTAGCCCATTGTAAGATATTCTATACCTTTGGCTTCGGTGAAATCCTTTATCTCGATATGAATGTGTACATAGATAATAAATAATAAATACAAAGACACCTTTGTGATAACCTCAATATGATAAATATGAAGATGAAATTAATGTTGTCTTGTATAATACTTATCTACATGTTAATCACGCTGCCATACTTCATTACATTGCAAATAAATTAAACGCAACACTTATTTGTGTTGCGTTTTAAAAAAACGAGGAAACATTGTGCTATTATAATACTGATGTTCAACGATTAAAAAGGTTTACATAAAAACAGTCTGTATCTGATCTGATGCAGGAACATGAACTTTGTAATAGAATAATATTAGTTGAACCTATGTATACGATTTTATTTCATCTCCACAAATTACCTACACGATTCTACCAAATATATTTGAACCATTTGAGACGTACTGTTACAAATTTAATGGTATGACTCATAATTATAATTCTTAAGTGGTCGATATATTATTATGTGAGTAAACGTTTTATTTGTTTGGTAATTTAATATTTTCAAATATTGAAGTGCATTACGTTATCAAACCTTGGACGGACTTGGACTGTCAAAACGTAACCACGGTTTTTCTACGCGATCGTTTTTTAAATTTGTCAGTTATTTTTTCTTGCTTGTCCTGTCCCGAAATACTTCGGGAAAACTATTATTATCATTACCATACGCTCCTTAGCGTATATTAAAACTCATATTTCAAAATTTAATTGTTTTGACTACATCACTCAATAGTGATGATGATGACATCATCATTATGAAATTTGAAAACAGAACATGGCAAATTACCTAAAAAAAGTTATAAAAGTATACTGTAACCATAACCTAATAATAAGTATTTATTATATCAAACTCTAGAAGCCCATATTCTTCTATGTAATAACGTACGTATTAAAAATTTATAATGTTTGCTTCCATAGTCACATATATAAATTATTTTGTTTTAAATAATAATAATAACCCAAGATAGTTCATCGATTCATATATCAAATAGCACATCCATCTAGTCCCAAACAAAAGTCGAGCTTGTACTACAGGTATTAAACAACTAATAGAAATACTTTAAATACTTTTTATGCAAATATAATACGTAGGTAGGTACACCGATAAAATCCTAACTAGTACAAACATCATGAATCTCATGTATGGTGCGAGAATCGTACTTGCGATTGTATATGATATACCACTAGACTACCGCGAACGTGTTTCGGTTTAAGGTTAAGACCTGGTACGTGTACGGGGTAATTAAAAGGTACTGTGGCATTACATCTTAATCCTTCCAAAATTGCGATAACACGAGGAGTACCATAGACACGACGTGAGTCCATGATAATGACAAAATGTGTAGGCGCCGGTTGCCGCCTATAAATGTGTGAGTAGATAGTTTGTTTGCCATTCAAGCAAAAAAACTATTATAATGGTAATAGCTATATATAAAACTGTAAAAGCAAACGATATTTATTTATAATTTTATTAATAGTCATCATATTGTTTCAACTCCTATTTAATGATAATTCATATTCAATTAGAAAATGGGCTTAATTACTTCAATCATTTTTCAAAGAATTGTTTTTTACCCACTTCATACTGGATTGGTAGTTATTAATTATCTAATTTTAGTATCTAGGTATCTAATTACCAAATAATAATTGAAAGGAGTAATGACTTGTAGTATGAATAAAGAAAGATAAAAGGCTAGTTATTAATATTGTACAGCAATGTCGATATCTCAGTACGTAGGTATATAAAAGTTATGCCAAATAATAATAATATTTGTAATGTTAAATATCAGTGGATGAGTAATCTGCCGATAAGTGGAATACCTACTCCGAGGTACCTACTACCTTCTTCAAGGTACATTTTTTTACCCTATAGTTAGTTATTACCCTATATTATACCCTAAGTTACGAAATGCTCTATACAAAGTAGCGGTGTAAGTGTTCAAACTAATACATATTACAATAAATTTTAAGCGATACGAATTTTCTTTGAATATACTTTTTACCCTGCATGTTGTGTAGGTATAGGTAGCGCGGTAAATCTATCTAAGTACCTAACGTGCACTTTTGGGTGCACTATACCAATAGTCCTTCCTACGGCCTACCCATGTATACCTGTAAAGTATTATGTTTATGCGAGTAGAGATACTATGACATACAGCTATAAGAAGTATATGAGAAGTATCATATCCCATCAAAAACATAAATGTGAAATGATAGCCGAGTTTAATATTATGATATATGCCTTGATTGTTGACTTCTTCGCAAGTTCTAAACATGTTACTTGTCGGTTCCTATTTTAATATTAGTAGTAACTAGCAATCGAAAGTAATAATGCTAAATGATATTATGTAATGCGTATTATTTTAATTGTGACAGTGAATTTGATGGGATTGGGAAATTTAAATTAAATATTGTAAGTATACTTCCTTACATAGTATAAAATGAATTCGCTTCATCTGTCTGTACGCTGTTGTTTTCAGCAATAGATAGAGTGATTCAAGAGGAAGATTTATATAACTAGCTGTACCTGCGACTTCGACCGCGTGGAATTTAACTTTATAAATCTAACATAAATATTTTTTTCTAAAATAAAAGTAGTCTAAGTTACTCCATATTACATCAGCTACCTGCTAAAAACGTCCTGTCAAAATCGGTCCAGCCTTTCAAAGATTATCCGGAACAAACTGACAGACAGACAGATAAAAATTGTAAAAAATGTTATTTTGGTGTATGTACCGTATTTATGGTCATATGCATGTAGTAAAAAACGATAATTTCAATATTACAAATAGACACTACAATTTTATTTATATGTATAGATTATTACATGTAATCTCGTGCGAAACCAGGCGGGTATCTAGTTACGTATGATAAATATAGGTGTATAATAGGTAGCTAGGTATGTAATTTATGTATTAGATCTTTATAATTAATCCATTATAATTATGAATGATGAATGAAAGATGAATGAATGATGATGAATGAATGATGAATGAATGATTAATGAATGATGAATGAATGATGAATGAATGATGAATGAATGATGAATGATGAATGAATGATGAATGAATGATGAATGATGAATGATGAAAGATTGAATGATGAATGATGAATGAATGATGAATGATGAATGAATGATGAATGATGAATGAATGATGAATGATGAATGAATGATGAATGAATGATGAATGACTGAATGTAGAAAGAATGAATGATGAATGAATGATGAATGAATGATGAATGAATGATGAATGAATGATGAATGAATGATGAATGAATGATGAATGAATGATGAATGAATGATGAATGAATGATGAATGATGAATGAATGATGAAAGATTGAATGATGGATGATGAATGAATGATAAATGATGACTGATGATGAATGATGAATGATGAAAGATTGAATGATGAATGATGAATGAATGATGAAAGATTGAATGATGAACGATGTTTGAATGATGAAAGATTGAATGATGAATGATGAATGAATGATGAAAGATTGAATGATGAATGATGAATGAATGATGAATGATGAATGAATGAAATGATGAATGAATGAATGATGAATGAATGATGAATGATGAATGAATGATGAATGATGAATGATGAATGAATGATGAATGATGAATGAATGATGAATGATGAATGATGAATGAATGATGAATGATGAATGATGAATGAATGATGAATGATGAATGAATGATGAATGATGAATGAATGATGAATGATGAATGAATGATGAATGATGAATGAATGATGAATGATGAATGATGAATGATGAATGAATGATGAATGAATGATGAATGAATGATGATGAAATGAATGATGAATGAATGATGAATGATGAATGATGAATGATGAATGAATGATGAATGATGAATGATGAATGAATGATGTATGAATGATGAATGAATGATGAATGAATGATGAATGATGAATGAATGAATGAATGATGAATGATGAATGATGAATGATGAATGATGAATGATGAATGATGAATGATGAATGATGAAAGAATGATGAAAGAATGATGAAAGAATGATGAAAGAATGATGAAAGAATGATGAAAGAATGATGAAAGAATGAATGATGAATGAAGAATGAATGATGAATGAATGATGAATGATGAATGAATGATGAATGAATGATGAATGAATGATGAATGAATGATGAATGAATGATGAATGAATGATGAATGATGAATGAATGATGAATGAATGATGAATGAAGAATGAATGATGAATGATGAATGATGAATGATGAATGATGAATGAATGATGAATGATGAATGAATGATGAATGATGAATGATTAATGAATGATGAATGAATGATGAATGAATGATGAATGATGAATGAATGGTGAATGATGAATGATGAATGATTGAATGATGAATGATGAATGAATGATGAATGATGAATGATTGAATGATGAATGATGAATGATGAATGAATGATGAATGATTGAATGATTGAATGATGAATGATGAATGAATGATGAATGAATGATGAATGAATGATGAATGATGAATGATGAAAGATTGAATGATGAATGATGAATGAATGAGTAATTATGAATGAATGATGAATGATGAATAAATGATGAATGATGAATGAATGATGAATGATGAATGATGAATGATGAATGAATGAATGATGAATGACTGAATGATGAAAGTATGAATGATGAATGATGAATGAATGATGAATGAATGATGAATGATGAATGATGAATGAATGATGAATGAATGATGAATGATGAATGATGAATGATGAATGAATGATGAATGATGAATGAATGATGAATGATGAATGAATGATGAATGAATGATGAATGATGAATGAATGATGAATGAATGAATGATGAATGATGAATGAATGATGAATGATGAATGAATGATGAATGAATGATGAATGATGAATGATGAATGATGAATGATGAATGATGAATGATGAATGATGAAT